TATCCCTTTTAAACTGATCTACTTGTTTCCATATGTTTCCCCTCGTTCTAGCATTTTGGGATTGTTAACACCCAGAGCAACTCTTTCTTACTGCAGTACCCAACCTACAATGTTTAGCCTGAAAATAAAATCATCATGCTACACAAGGAGTCTCAACACAATTCCTCAGAGGTGCAGAGAAATTCAGGGAAAAAAACAGGTTTGAAGGACAGAGCTGGGCTTTGCAAATTGTTTCCATTGGTTTGCAGTCTTGGTATCCTCTCTACGTGGGGCACAGGAACTGGAAAAGTGCATTTTGCTTTATGTTGCCAGGAGTTGAGAATGGGTCAATGCTTGTACTTGCAGCTCAGTTGTATGTATTAAGGACAGCTGCTCCAAAGGTAGCTACTAAATGTAGAAGCTAGCTATTTAAAAAGTCCTTACCTGTTCCTGTGTCTTCAACGTTTTAGTGCCCTTGTTCCCTCCTGTGTAAAAAAATCACATGCTGGGGCCAAGCCATGCCTGGTGTGATGAGTCACCTGCTGGCTGGAAGATCACAGCTAATAAAAACCTTTGCTGTCCTTCATAGCAAAAAGAGATGCAGGTCTCCCAGGGAGCCCTTTGCATCCTGCCACCTGAGGAGCTCCTGATCTTTCTCAGAGCCAGCAAACAGATTTTGGGGTGCACAAAGGCATAGGACTCTGTTGTGGAGAATCTGTAGTTGGTCCTTGTCCAGGATAAACCCCAAGCCAAAAGAAAAGCTAGAAAGATGGACAGATTCCCTCAGAAGCCCCAGGACAGGGAAAGCTGCAGAGGGCCGGGCCGTGAAGGCTCTCTGCAAGGAGGGTTCGTGTTGTGGAAGGGAAAAATCAGACCCAGGGGACTGGAGCTCCTCACTTGTCCCAGTAAGGCTCTTGCAGGACTTGACCAGAAGGCTGAAGCACTTCAGCAACTGGAAATGCTAAAAAAGTGACCTTGGTCATTTAAATAGTATTGGAAAAAATGAGGCCAGCTCCCTCGGAGGATTCCATCTAGCCTAGTCCATCTTACTAAACACCTCCTCCTTTCCACCTCTCCTGGAAATACAGATGGATCAGGATCAGACCACTCCATTTCTGGGGCTCTCTGTTACCACCTTCCTTCAGCCCCAGCTGTCCCAAACCCTCGCGCCACAGACACATTGTGTTTCTCATGACAAGCATGAGGTCCGCAGAAGGGGCCCCACGCAGTTGGGATGTCTCGGCACAACGCCAGGGCCTCTGTCTGACCCTACGCATGCCAGACACAGTCCGCTTTGCGATCTGCTGACCTGCAGCTGGTGACCGGGGTCACAGAGCAGGAGACAGACCCAAAAAGCCTGCTGGAAAGCAGACAGCCCATTTACCGCTTTCCTTGCTTCGAATGACAGCACCCCAGAGTGTACGTGATGCTGACTCCCGTGCTGGGGGAGACGGTACCTCAGAGATGGACATCTGCACTATATAACTCGAATCGCAATGAGTCCAGCTGGAGGGGACTGCGCTTGTTCTTCAAGTTACGCATGTCCTTCAGTACTTTGCTGCACTCAGCTATATATGGAGCACAAGGGAAAATAATCCCAAACCTCCCGCCACAACCTGCCTCCACCTTGAAATAGGCCCCCGTGCACCGAAGACAAATGTTTCAGCTCCAAACTTCCAAAGACTACCATAAACACCGGGGATAATTAAAATGTGAACATTATGAAAAATACGTTGGCGAGGACTCCAGACTCTGGAGTTGGAAAGCCAGGTAGCTTAAAGAAGTGCCAAAAATTTAACTGGTCTCCAAGATTAGCAGATGTTTTTCAACCTAACATTGCAAAAACTTACTAACATAGCTGTGTTTCCTAAATCAGAGCCAGAGAAGAGAATATAGGCTGTGCATTGGGACCATACCAAGTGCTTTTCCAGCACTGTAAGACCTTTTATTAAAAAAAAAAAGGGAGGGAGGGTGAGGAGCGAAGGCAAGGGAAAAACCTAGGCCTAGCTAAAGGATTCTGGATGCTTACTTCAATCCTGTAAGAAAAGGAAAATTCCTTCCCCCAACTGAAATGACTCAGATGCAGTTAAGATGGAGATAACATCAGCACATTTCCCCATCTGGTATTAAGCTATTCCAAGAGAGTACGGCAGAACACAGTGGTTGCAGTTGATACAGTCTAAGCGATATTTGGGTGGTTATTTTCTTCTTCTTTCCTCTTTTACTCAATTATCTAAAAGTAACTATTCAGCAGCTCACTTTTTGGAAACCGGCCTCCTTCAGCTGGTAAGAGACAATATGCTACAGCACTGCAATTAAAAACTCATCATTCCAAAGCCACTGGTCAGTTTGTCTTCCCAGTAGCAGTTCCTTCACAGCCACAGAGACCGAGTGCACTTCTGTAGACCCTCTCTATTATTCTGCTGCACCTCTGAGGAGATTTACAGGGATTTGCATGTGTTTGTCTCACTCAAAGAGAGATCGTGTGGCATGATTAAGAGACATTCTTGGAAAGAAGCTACTAGCTCTGACAAGCTTCTTGACATTCCCTTTGTTTGATATAACACCCATCGTTATTAATGGGAATGTATTAAGCTACCAGTCAGCTTCAGCAATGCCGTGTTTAACAATACACTTTTCTCCTCTCCGCTCTCCATAGTGGCAGCCAATGCCCAGTAACTCTTGGAGGAATTACTCTATATTTTTTATATAGATATGTGGTGTGTTGTACATATATATATACACATACATAAGCATTAGTGAAACATGCCCTTCCATAAGTAAAGCAATGGGAGAGTTAAGAAAGCTAGGGTGAGCTAGAGCTTTTCCTATATCATGGGCGATGGGATTGTAAGGAAACTGGATCCAGTGACCCAGACTCTGGTGATCATATCACATGTCCCTTACAGAAACTGGTGCTCCTCCATTAAAAAGGGGAAACAAAAATATAGGACAGAAATTTTACAGGAAGTGATTCACTACAACGTGCAGATTAAAAGATTAAAACCCACCACTAACAAGTGTTACCAGTCTCAGAAGCTACACATAGAGATATTTAATTCTAGGTGGATTCTCTTCATCCCATATTTGCAATGCAAGGAAGCCTGAGAAAGGACTGTTCCACCTCCCAGGTGGGTAACAGTAGGAAGGACACTGAGCAACCCACAAAGGAAGGAGTCTGCTAAGTAGACCTTGCTATGAAACGGATGGGCTGCCAAGCTGTTTTTCCACATGCATCCCTGAAATTCCTACCCGCCAAGCACTCATCTCAGTTGTATGCATTGCATATATCCAATAATGGAGGGAAGAGGAGAAAAGTAGGTTTTCATATCAGGAATGAGCTCCACCCAGCGCTGTGCAAGAGTCAGACTTCACCCATCACCGCGATGACACAGCGAAGGCAAGGAAAGTCATCTGCAGAAAAACAGCAGCCAGCTAGCTACAGGACTGGATGAACCAAGCACCTTTTCTTCTCCTCCTCCGCTGCATCGACAAATACTAGACAGGATCAAGGAGCACCCAGAGACCTGCAAAACTGAGGCGACCAGAAGAGTAACACCTCCTCATGGATGCCAGACCAGAAGGTGAACCTGTAGAGACCAGCCCATCCTCTGGGCCTGCTCCATCAGATATGCCTGCCGTAAACCTCCAGCCTTCCCACTGGGACAACCTTCAAAGCTGCTGCTGCAAAGGGAAGCAGTGCTGTCTCTGGCTAGCTTCTTTCTCCTTTGCAGGAAGAGACTCACCTCCACTCCTAGAGAGAGAGAGAAACGGAGACAGAGACCAGTGGGTGACACAACTGCCACTTCTTTCCCATAACCTTGTCGGGGTTGTGATATAGCCAGCTACCATGCCTGAAGCGGGCATCAAGGAGAGCAAGTCTATACTCTGCCCTACCCAGCCCAGCTCCCAGAGCGCACAGCTTTGGGGGATTCATTTACTGGTTGTTTCAGGGGACACCTGCTGCATTACACAGATCTGTTTGGTTACAGAAACCTACCATCTGCCCCTCAGTTGTCCCAACCAAAGTCTGCAAGCACCCTGCTTGCAAGGAGGATTAATATTACATTTCCATCTGCTCCGAAACACGAGCTGCCTATAAGCAACAACCTGAAGATCTCTCTCAGCTCCTAAATCCCATCTCGCCTTTAAAAAATACAACTTAGTAGAAGAACAAGAGGAGCCATGACTATCCAGTTCCCTCAAAGCACAAGCCACATCAACATTTTAAACTTGCTCCATTTCCTGCATGACTAAATTCCAGGGAATGTTAACAGACCACATTAAAGAGACAGCTAAGTGGTGACAACGCCGATACAAAACCATTGACTGGGTCTGCACCAATGTAGCAAACTTTTAAAAAGTATTAAAACAGACTGTTTATTACAGCATATGATGTGTTATATTAATTTACACAATGGTATATATAAAAACAGCCATTGATGATGTACAGTAAATGAGACATCAACAGGAATATTAAAACTACTGATACTCATGCACATGACATGCATATGTTTTTTTTTTAAAAAGCAGTTTTACACAATATACTGAAGTTACTAAGCCTTGGTCAGCTGCTCCAACAGTTTATTCTGAACACCACCACAGTCCGCACTGGGACTCCCAGGAAATAGGAGCAGAGTGCACTCCAGAGAAGGCAATTTAACCTTAGAGGCAGATTTAACAGGAGCCCTTTGCTTGTGGGAGAAGGTTGAGGGAGGACAGGAGCAAGTTTCAAGAAGAGAATCAACAGGAGAAAAACAGGCCAGACTGTCAGGAGGAACAAGTTCAAGATGCGGCAATAGGAGCAGCAGAAAGGGACAAGCGAAAACATTAAGACCACCCACACTCCCTCCCTCTTTTCCCTAAAAACTTATGAACTTAAGCTGTTGCTATCCTGTAAAAGACTCAGAACCGAAAAACTAGGAAGATCCATTCTCAGGAACATTAGCCTTTTTCTTCAAAGCCCTCTGATACTATGCACTGGAGGCTGTTCACCACTGAAATGGCAGTGTTATTTTCTCTTAAACGAGTATAATTGTCTTTTATTTCCACTTAAAAGGCACTAGTATCCACCCAAGTTCTGAAGACAAGTGACATAATTTACCTTAAGTTTTAAATATTTGTATAAAAAAAAAAATCTGTGAAAATATGTACACAAAAGCACCTTGCTTCCAAAAGCAGAAACAGATACATTCCATCAAGTCACTTCACTAGACAGTTGTCATCAACTTCAGAGAGCCTGATCGAAAGCGAAGGATTTTCTTCTTGAGGTTATGGGAGGCTTTGATTTTGACAAAGGCCTTTGCTGCATTTTCATGCAGCTCTGGAGCTGTGACCGTTTGGAGCGGGAGAGTCTGGACAAACTGAGACCAAATAAGACCCCCGCTTTCATCCGAGTCGCTGGTGGTTGTGCTCTCCCCTACGAATTCCACCTCGCTCAAGCTCGACTCGCTGTCTCCAAAGCAGTTCGTGGTGTAATTGCTCTGTTCATCCTCACTCGTGTCCACCACGGTGGAGTGGAACAAAGACTCGCACTCCGCCGAGTACTCCGAGTCGCTAGCTACGTAGGCGTAAGGGCTGACATAAGGCAGGGGAACTTGCGAGTAGACTCCCACACCTTCTCTCCGGTTCCTTCTCGCCCTCCGCAGGGCCTCCTCGTAGGAAATCTCTGCCGACGACTTCCACCGGCGATAGTCACTCCGCTTGTGTTTAGGTTTGGCAACCACGACCTCTCGGCCATGTCCATGCGACCTGATTACGGATTTGTGGAGGCCAGCCTGCCTACTCTGGAGGCCGGACTCCGGCTGCAAACTGCTGCCTCTCTTACCCCTTGAGGAGGGCTTTTTCAGTTTCTTATTTGTATCCAATTCATCAGGAAAGCGACATTTCTTGCTAACCGGCTTGGTTTTCTCCCGCAAGGTCTGCGAGCCATTTTCTAGTACGTTGACAAGGTGAGGCCTGTGTTTCAGGGTGGAGCTTTTCAAAATCTTGACATTTTTGGTGCCTTTGTGAAGCTTAATGCTTTGCTGCTGGGCCGGTATGTACTGGGCATTCACCAGTAACCCATCATCTAGGCTCTGGGAGGAAGAGCCCTCGCTTTTGAAGTCCAGTGAAGGCCTCTCCTCAACGGCAGGAGATGTGGCGTGAGCCACCTGCAAGCTGCTCTTCAGCAGTATTTTCTTGGGAGGCTGACTCACTTTATTCTCTGGCTGCAACGTCACTGGCTTGCCCGGGCTCTCTTTAGGAGTCGCAGCAAAGAGCTGGCCGTTTTCCTTGGGGATATCCCCCGTTGGAGCTACCACATTCCGATTTAGCTCTGGAGGCACCGGTTTGACACTCCGTGGCAGGTGCTTGCCTGGAAGTTCACTCACTGCACCGGGTGGGAAAGCCGCCGGCAAAGGCATCTTTCTACTCTCCAGCTGCTCGCCGCTCGATTCCTTCGGCCTCTGCTTTACCGGGGAGAACGCCGTGTTGTCCAAAGCGGTTGTCCCACTGGAATGCAGGCATGCTTGCTTCGAATTCTTCAGGTTCACCATGTTAGTATGTGAAACCACCGCTGTGGACTGTCTGACACACATGCTCCCGTGTCTCAAAATCCCTTTGGTGGGGTCAGCGTTGAGACTTGTCCTTGGTTTATTAGTCCTTACGGAATGAGTTTTTTTCTGAACCAGGCTTAAGATGTAACCGTCTATCCTCTTGCTGGCAGAAGGGCACGACGCGGGCCAGGAGCCCTGCGGGAGAAAGGTATTGGCTGCTTTTCCCGAGTCCGTTTCGGATCCGACGCAACCATCGCTAATATCGCAGCCAAGTCTCTCCTCTTCTCGCTGGGGATTTTCAGTCACCGGGAGAAGAAACATGGGGCTCTGCACAGCTACGGCATGGAGCGGGCTGGGGTACCGGTAGACATCATTCCCGTTTTTAGACACCAGATCACACTGGTATTTTGGATGTACATCTGCAACGACATCGAGGGAATTTGAGTGCGGTGTGGACAAAGAGCAACAGACAGAGCCTGCAGTCTGGTCCTCATGTTGGCCTTCCTTATTATAATCCATCCAGCCTATGAGATCTGAAAGGCATTTTAGAAGAGTTTAGAGATCCTGCTGGTGATAATTCAGCTATGTTTTTCACATGCTGTCAAAGACTCTGGTCTTGTTCACACGTACGACGTACTGTTTGAACTACAGCAATGCTATTCAAACAGTAGAAACCTTGCAACTAGGGACACAGTTTAACGGATATAAAAGTGTCACTATTTTCCTAGGGGTCTACCTGCATAGTATTTGCCCCACTATAACTACATAGGTGAAAAGATAAAAATCACAGCCCAAACGAGAGCATTTATATTCATTCTAAAACTGTGCCTAGATTGTAAAGAGCTTCCTATTTTACAAGCAAGCCACTCAGAAGAGAATAATCATCTCTTACAGTTACACAGACACCTGTATAACACATTGAGAGCCTGAACAAGTATGGATTCTATGATATTTTACCTTGCTAAATCCAAAAAGAAACACAAAAAAATGTAAACAAGAGACTGCAGAATTTAGAAAATTCAGGTTAACTTATGAATTGCCTTTAGCTTATTGATAGATTTCGCTTCCAGATTTTTTCAAGTGCATCTTGGGTCAAAAAAAAAAATAAAGATTCAGATATAATTTTATTGTTTGTTATTAATAACAATAGATGTTCCTTTTGAGCAATAAAGGGTTAAAGAAGGGAGAAAGGCTCATCTTTCCACGCAAGTACAAGGAGTGCAGGTCAATACAGCTGACATCCTAGCCTTGGCTCTGCCAAGAGTGTTCTGTAAGAGAAATCCAGTGCTTTTCAAGATGCATGAGTCAGATTTAACGCCTACGGCATTTAATTAGGAAACAAGAGACCTTAGGAGCAGGACTTCAATCCATGCACCTAAGATTATTATTTTTCTAAGGTCAAGCTGATCTTGCCTTGGGTAGGGGGAGAATCAAAATGATCCTTCTGGATCACTTGCAGTCCTGTTTTCTATCCTTGGGCCAAAAACTTCCTCCAGGGTAGTCAAACTTGAATGCTCAGTGCTTGTCACTTAACTGAGAGTTATTTCAAAGAGGTTCAACAGATTTTTGATGAAAGTAGCTGATAGTGATGGTGTTGCTGGGAGGGCAGGAGGGGAAGAAAAGGGATTGGAGGAGGGGAAGAACAGGAACAGGAACTTCCTTCAGATAACCTCACAGTTTTCCTGCATTTCCTAAATTCTATGTCTCAGTTAGGAAGTGTTGCCAAAAAGACTTCTTTGAAACATGCCAGTTTGTGAAATTCATCTCGAAAACTGGGACAATATGTTTAATAAGAGTTTTGATTTTCATGATGTATAGAGAAAAAAAGAACAACACAATCTGCTGGAAATCCTTGTGCATGCTTTTCTTTTTAGGTATGGTTTGTGTAGCTCAGATATACCTTACAATAGGGAATGCTGAATTACCTCAAGCTGCTCTGTAACTTAGAGGAGTTCTCAGCATCTCAGAATTGAACGTATCCAAGGCTGTATTTTCCCACTTCTAGGTTAGAAGAACTTGAATTATTTTGTTCTTGATTCACAAAAATTCACTATAAGTTAACCTTGAAGAGCAGAACGGAAATTGGAAATATTATGGTTAGGAGGAGCATTCTCCACAACCCAAAATGAACCAAGGCTTTTGAATCAGTATGGCTGCAACTTCAACCAACAGTGCTTGCTCACCAGTCCTATTTACATCTCCTTTCTGGACAACAGATAGAGGAGGTCTTCCTATTTAACATTCTTACAACCTAAGGCTTGCATCTTTGGCCTAGTGTCAATGGAAATTCAACGGCTCCCTGCCAAAGAGACAAACCGCTTTTTCTTTGCTCGTAATGGCTATTTGTCGATATTATATAAACGTCGAGCACACGTCAGCATGATCACCTGTACGTTGAGGACCGTCAGAACTGACAAAATGACTGCTGCAAACAGACTGCTATGCCCCCTGCCCTCATAAAACCTGTAGCTAGCTCCTTACTCTATCACTTTAACGAGGGCAAAGGCTTGTCTATGTTGCATGGCTGTTGCGGTATGCTTACTTACTGCTGTTTAGTGGCAATGCTTTTCTAAAAGAAATTATGAGAAATTAGCCAACTAATGTGTTTATGTGTGTATGTACCACTGCCCTCTACTGGGTAGTGCAGCTGTGATATTTCTCCCGTGTTACGTTCATGTGTTTAGAGCGACATATTCACAGGCAGGGCTGGAGGAGCGGAAGAGAAACGGTCCTGCCCCATGACACACGTACGTGATAGGCACTGGAATCTTTTCAGAGCACAGCACATGAAATGAAAAGAAGAAGGGTTAATCCAACCCAGATACTCCTGAGGCAGTACTTCCAAAGCCAAAGCCACCTCCGGGAGTATGACGTATTCGACCTGCTTTTACTATACCTGCAGATTTAGGGCGTCCATCTGAGATAGTCAGTGTTGCCTCCAAAGGGCTGCAAAAGCAAGTGCTAGAATGGCAACTGGATAAACACTCACTGAAGACTGAGTTAGACGAATTGGAGAGCGATCCAGAAGCTCCATCACTCAGCTCATAAAACCCTATGAAAATAAGAATTCGGATTTATATTAGTTCCAGCTATACAAAGTTACCATTTGTGGCCCTAGAAAGGCAGTCAAGCTGATGTTTATGTTGGCTTACTGCGTTGCAATTAGTTACGGGATTTCATTCAGTCATCCAAAAAATAGTGCGCAATTTAGTAATACCCTCACTACTATGACGAATTCAGATTAAAAATAAGGCACTTAAAAGAATAGCACTTTAGTTAGCATATGAATTCCTGAACAGTTTTTTTAGCCTTTACAGGGATTGGGGGCTATTTTTCAGATTTTAGCAAGAAGGCTCCAGGCTGTGTTTGTCAGCCCACTCATTTAGTAATGTATTATGTCTTCCAACAAAGACTCTCCTGCTATTACTTGCCTACAAAAATATTTACCAAGTGCTGGGCCCAGTGCTATCCATTATTTTCATCAAAGTTCTGGAGGTAAATGTAATATTTGTGGATATTACGGAAGGAGGAGTATGGTGAATAACGAGCAGATACAGCAAATTGGATTTCCTGGCAGATTGGGTCCAATCAAGCAATATGTGACATAACGCAGTCAAGATTTAAATTATACATCTAGGATAAAGGAATTCAGGCCATATCTAGAGAATAGAGATGCATCCTGGAAAACAATAATCCTGAAAAGGACTTAGTCAGCGTGGAAAAGCAGTTCAATCAAGTTTAATGATATGGCAAAAAAGGCTAATGAGATTCATGGATGTAGAAAGAGACTAATGAGTAGCAGTAGGGAAATGACTTCACCAGTCTATAAGGCACTGGTAAGACAGATATTGGAACGGTGTGTCTAGTTCTGGAATCCAGTACACTTAAAGCAAAGCTAAAAATTGGAAAGGGGCCATAAAGCTATTTAAGAGCTGGGGAAAATGCCTTAAAACAAATGACTTAATGAACTTGGCCTGTTCAGCTCATCAGAAAAGTTGGGTATTACACTGAATAGCAACTCAAAGAGGAGAAAATACGGGGCACTAAAAAAAAGACTTTGGTCTTTGGGAAAAAAGCTTATAAAGACAGTGCTAGAACAAGTGAAATTCAAATTAGAAATAAGCAATATTTTTAACAGGTCAAGTGATCAGCTGGGGGATTCTCCTCTCTTTAGCGTCTTTAGAACAAGCCTAGATGCCTCTCTGGAAGGTTCCTCATAGCTAAATACGACTTACTGCATTCACCACATTAGAATGGAATGAAATCCAAAATATGGGGGATCAAATTATTTGATTCCCTCTTCCCTTCTGGCTGTAAGATCAACTGTGAAATCTCCCTCCCACTGTTGGTGCTTCCTTTAATCATTTTCTTGCAACCTCCTTCCTCATATGCAGGAGAATTGGAACTTTTTGAGTTAATTTGTGGGTGGCCTTGGAAAAAAAGAAATGCCCCGAACACTAAAAATCTAATTAGAATTGAAACAGTCCTCTGAATATGTTCTCTAAACACAGTAATCTTTCCAGTGGTAGTTGAACTCTCCCAGTTGGCACTAATTATCAGAGTGTGAACATTTACTGTTCTAGTGTTGAAAATTCGAGGCAGTTTAATTCCAGGTACCAACAGAGGCCCCATTTTGCTGAATACTGCCCTTACCTGAACTTGGACGACTGTCTGTCTCAAGGTGCTCATCCGTCGTTTTTTCCACGTCCAGTCGGAGATCACTTATTTGCTTATCTAGCTCTTGTAACTGATTTAACAGACCAGCATCCCTCCTCCTCAAGCAGTTCTAGAAAACAACAGGACAAACAACATCAGCTCCGTCAGCAGGGCAGGGGGCTAAGGGGCTCCCAAGGCAACCAGCCTTCTCCATCTGAGTGAGCATCAGTCAATGCTTTTAATAAAAAACAAAAATAAAAACCAAACACACAGAACAAAGCCCTGAAAATCTAGATGGACACTCTGGACAAATATTTAGTTGAAGAATTATGCAGGCACTTCATTCCAGCCTCTTCCAGCCAGGTGGACACTGGAGCATTCCCCACCATTTAGGAAGACAATACATCAGGTTGGCAAAGCGCTCCTGGCAGGAACGCTGGGTTTTGCACGACACGCTAAAACCAGACCTGCACACATGAAACAGGCCAGCTCAGTGAAAGAACAATTTTACCAGTGCAATAAGGGATTTTCACCACCGCAGTGACGTGAGTCTAAGATCACATCTGTTCGCACAACAGGCTGAAACAGCCCTGCCAACAAGTGTCTGTAATGTGGGAAACGCCTCATTTTGCAGCTCATTATAAGCTTATATTCTACCATATAGAGAGGAAGATTCCCAGAGCTGGGATCCGAGTCCTTTCATTAGTTTTACAATTGCAGCAGGAAGGAAGAGTAATTCTTCCTGTTCTCCCATTATAATCGTATTAAATTGCTGTGAGGTGAATTTTAAAGCTATTTGTGAAGGTAGCGTGATGGTACAAAACAAGCAGTAAGAAATGATTTTGTAAAGCACTCGTCAACCCACGGTCAGTGCAATCAGTTTCCCTGTGTGTATTTATAACGTGTCTCATTCATCACCAGTTTGATACACTTTTCAATTGTCCTGGCTTTAGGGGGATGCAGGAGGGAGGTTTATTCTTTTTCATCAGTGCATCGTTTGATCGGTACCCAACGGTGCTCTCCTGCGCTCATTGCAAACAGTTTTGATGCCCATAACCGGACTAGTTCTAAAGCCATCAAACCAAGGACAACCTCCCCCCTGGGGTGCGCCAGGCCTCGGGCAAAGGGAAAGTGAACGCTAATAGTATCAGAGAGGCTGCTGAAAAAGACGCGCTGGCATCACATCGTCCTTGGAGAACCGGAGAGGCAATGCAAGTCTTCTCCCACATTTCTGATGGAAGCCGGGATCTGGACAGAAGCCAGGCTGCCGGAGGTGACGGGTTCAAGCGGTAACTCACTGCGCCACCTACAGCCACCAGTGTCCCCCCTCCCCCAGCGAGCGCTGCATCTGGTTCAAATCTGCAATGTCAAGTGCACAAATTAAAGTGCGACCACAAATCCTGATTTTGGAGTAATAATTCCCGGTGCTTTCCTATGGCTGTTTGGCAGCTGCTCCTTTCTGAGCCAGCGAGATCCTTTATTTTTATCTTTTAAAGAAAGAAATAGCCCTAAATTAACTGAACCAAAGGGCTAACGAGGAAGAAGGAAAAAAAAAAAAAGGCAAATAAATCACACAGTCCAACTTCTCCCTCGGCGAAAGCAAACGCCGAGCCAGGCACAAAGGCCGCCAGGCGCAGCC